AATTCTAGAGGAAACTCTTAAAACACAATTCACATTATCACTAGCTTATTTAATTTACCAGCTAAAACATTTTAACAGTGGACATGCATGACGAGATTTCTGTCACTCTTTCTGATTTACACCACAATGTCAATTATCACCACATTTCAAATAGCATGTTATGTATCCTAAATACATTCTCTTCACTAATACTGTTGCATCCAATTGGTCAAAAAATACCTACGCTACTTTTAGAAAAAACTAAGAATATGGATGTAAAAATTTTCATTTTGTTGGAAATTATGCCACAATTGTGGGATAGTCAATGTTTGAATATATATATATATATATATATATATATATATATATATATATAAAATAACATAAATACAATAATATAAATAAAATTATAAATATCGAAATAGTTTATGATTATTTCACTAAAGGGTTGAAGCAAAAATAAATGATAAAAAGTTTGCACGACATGCAGTTTAAATGTAACATTCACATAACAACAAAAAAAATGTTTCAATCAAACCAATCCCAAGGCATTACAGTTTAAAATATTAGGATTATTTTTTTCATTAGTAACAACAAGAGTCATTTGAGCACGCAGAGTGTTGGTGAACATAATCTAACCTAATTCAATCGAGGTGTAGCCTAATGCCACAGGACTCTTATTAAAAATAAACTGAGACACCGTGAGAGAAGTTAAAACTGACAGCCGCCAAACTACAATCTACTAAGTTTTGTTAAAATGGCTGAATTAATCAAATTCAGGTATCACTCAAAATAAAAATCTAAATTTAGAAGGCATTTGTCTTACCTGTAAGATTTCCGAACTGGATTCAATAGCACAGCAGCCTCAAGTCAAGTCTCCCAAAGGTCACGTTCGCGCAATGCAGAGAAGGCGCGCACGGTCCGCTTCGCTTCAGTGATGCTTCACGGGCATCACATGTCATTCCAGACAGGTGTAGAACGGTGTAGAAAGCACAGCCCACCTGTGGCTCGAGCACATACCTGACTAAATAGATGAAAGGGGAAGACAAGCAGAAACAAATTACCTTGTTAATGAGCCATTTCAATAGCTATAGGCTACTACTACGAACATGACATGACACCGTGGGCGGGAGTCGTTGTGGAATTCCTGTCCCGCATATGAGCGGTTAAAACAATGGGAAAATGCCGATGGTCGCGCACACACCCCACAAAATAGTTTTCTCAGATGGTTTTCCATTTTCGGTCCAGCCCCTCTGGCGCCCCAGAACATCCTAAGGACTCAAACGTCCAGTTAATGTTCAGAGAGCAATGGTTAATAAAAAATTGTAGACGAGAATGAAAATACACATATTGAGTACTGCACTGATTACTACAGTAGCCTGTATAATAGGCCAATATCGAGCTCAAAAGAGGACAGCAAAACAATCAAAAATTTATTTAGAATGTCTCATCGTGTGGAGAAAGAGTCTAGCGACCCCTGCTGTCTGTGGCTAGATTATACAGCGCAGTGTTTTAACCCCTTCAGATCGGTGTGTGTGTGTGTGTGTGTGTGTGTGTGTGTGTGTGTGTGTGTGTGTGTGTGTGTGTGTGTGTGTGTGTGTGTGTGTCATTAACTTGCACGCTTTCTTAATAGAATCAAGTGATAATATTCAAAGTTAATTTGAAGATCTTTTAGAGCTGTAAAACAGGATTTTTTTGAAAATTTAAAAGTCAATCGCAATGGATATCAGGTGTTGAATAACTTCAGGAACCTCATAACGTAGGCCTAGTTGTGTGCCAGGTTGTGAAATTAATTTTTATTATTAGGATTTTATTTTTTTGTTTGTCTGTCTTGTCTGACCTTATTAACCAGTTATTAGAGTATCTGATTTTAACAGTAGCCTACTCGCAGTCGCACTGATAGGCTCAAAGATGCACTTGTCCACAACACCTAAGAGACATATGCCAGTCAAAAACAAGAAACATGTTAATATGACCAAACTGCCATTCAGTTTTTCAGTAGTTTTAGTGAAAAACACCAACAGTGAATGTGAAATGAGTGAATACACAGCAACACACACACTGATGCATGCTTTGATGCCATGCACACAATCATATTATCAAAACACACACCCACAGATAGACACAACAAACAAAATTGAACAAGAATTAAACAAGTTTGAGACTTCATTTTATCATCTTACCTTTTTTCTACATTCTTATTGCATTGCTTATTATTACAGTAGGCCTATGTATATTTCAAAATCGTCAACGCTATAGTTCACATATGATTAAACTGGTTAAAATATAAGGATTTTTATGTTGCTTCAGTCGTGGTGTCCAGTGGACATGTAAAAAAACTAATAAAAAATGAGTTGGAAATAAGTTTTGCTCAGTGAAAAAAATTCAGGTCTGACGGGGTTTAATCATAATGGTTCATGGCACCTCCCAAAAGCCCTGCAATGAATAATCTGATGGCCTGAACATTTGCGGACACACAAAGATTGGTGGCTTGCTGCTTGGCTTGTAAGTTGCTGTGATGAATCAGAACAGGTAGCCTATACGTTATGCAAACTAGCTCATTTGATCATTATTGATTCAAATAGCAGTTTTTGGGGGAATATACAAGCATGAAGCACCAACCACACAGGTGAGAAAACACATAGTGAAATCCATCTCTCCTCCAAAACAGTTTTTCTTACCCTTGTAATGTGCATTGCGCACGTGACACAATTCGTCCGAATTTGACGAGTGATTAAAAGATGGCTAATTCGTAACAATTCGTACGACCTCATTCGTACGAATTTGTACGATTTGTCTAAACCCACGTGATGGGTAGATTTAGGGGCGGGGTCAGGGGTAGGTCACTCGTACGAATTGGGCAACTCGTCAAATATGTAGCCTACGTTTTAGCAAAAATCGTACTAATTCGTACGAGTGAGGTCGTACGAATTGTTACGAATTAGCCATCTTTTAATCACTCGTCAAATTCGGACGAATTGCGGAATTGGTCGTGAGATCGGGTTGGACAACCTATTAAAAACTAATGGAAACACTGTAAATTTTTTACCTTAGAGTTCGCGTGACCAGCCACACAACTGTCGAGCCTGTTTTACGAGACAAAACACAGACATCCTAAGCATACGTTTATTTACATTTTTTTTTTTACCTTTCCCTTTTGCTCTCATCTCTTCCTTGCAATGTTCATATGGTCTTACACAGTTCCAGCAGCAGCAGACCTTTATTGTCATTTACCCAGTCTACAAGTAGGCATCTTTTAGTCTTCATTGGAAATACATTAAGAAAAAAAAAAGTTTCATTAATGCATAGGGGGAGAGTGAGATGAAACGGTGGTTACTGGAGCATGCAGTGCACAATTTTTAAGTTACCAGACAGCAGATTTGGGATTTGGTAAACATTTTCTGTGCTCTTTGCATGTCAAAGTATAATTGAAGGTGAAATAATGTGTAAACACAATAAAATAAAATACCTAATTAATAATTAGCTAGAATTACTTAAAAAGGCACGGTCCCCAAAATCGGTGCATGTGGTTCAGCTTTTAAAATGATTCTTTCTCGTACATAATACTTTCATTTACCTTACAATGAAGAAAGAAGAAAAAAAGAACTTAATGACTTGGTTATATTGAACAAACTACTTGCTAGGTGAAATTAGCCACTTTTTTTTCAAGGGAAATTATGCATTATATTTTGTTCCACAAACGTCAGTTGTTGCTAGTAAAAGACATGGCATTCTTACAAAGCCAGGAAACTGCAAGGAGGAAGCAACAGGTATACTTTCCTTCATTCCTGGTTGGATTAGTGAACAGATACACATGGATACCCGTTACAAAAGTGAAAGAAATGGAATTTGGTTTTTTTTCCTAAACCTGCTCATTGTCCAAAAATCTGGGTGATATTCACTTAATCAAAATGTAAAACATCACAACACTATCAATATTAAACATGTTTCTTAATGGTTAATTGATATAAAAAATATAAAAACTTACACTTCATATTTTGTCTGAAATTTCTTTTTTTATTCAATTGACAACAGGTGGCCCAGTGTTATAAATGCATCTTTTACCACTGTCTCATTTCTCCTCACCTGCACCTTAATTAAATGCAGTAAATCCTACCTCCTCTAATCTGCAGAAGTGACTGGGGTGTGAGAAAGAGATGATTATTCATTAACTTCAAAGGTGTTTTGGTCTGTAATACGTCTATAAAGGCAAACACACACACACACACACACTTATACTGAATCACTCACAGAGCGTCATATTAACTATAACAGAGGAAATTAAAAATTGTGCAAACAAAAACTGTGAATTGCTCATTTGTTTTACATAAAACAAGCAGATAGAATGTTTGCTAAGTGTACAATGAACATGCTTAATAAAGTCATTTCCTCTCACCTGTATTATCAGTTTATGTCATAATTCTATCCAAATAAGTAGCCTACACATAAAACCCACAAACTAAATAAAAGAAACAAAACATGTGTTTCGACTTACTGACTGATAAAGTATCCCTAAATTAAACCACATGGGAAGTAAAATAAATCCAAACATTAAATGAAATGTGTATTGTTATTATCATTATTGTGTTATTTTATTTCTCTTTAATTATGGTTGTGGATTACATCCCTCACCAACTGTAAACTGTAAACCTCATAGTGTACGTATTAAACCATCACTGAGATTTAACCCAGGTCATTTGTACATCAAGTATCATACATAAATAGAGAGAGAGAGAGAGAGAGAGAGAGAGAGAGAGAGAGAGAGAGAGAGAGAGAGAGAGAGAGAGAGAGAGAGAGAGAGAGAGAGAACAGTGTGGCTCGCAATTGTTATAATACACCATTTTCTTGTTTATAAATGAGGGTGAACGGTCACCATCCCATCTAGCTCATCAGTTCAGAGCTCATTTGAGGTAAACATGGAGAGAGGTGTCTGCACATCGTCACCGGCTTTGAGTATGAACAGTTGGCAGACTCTCATTCAGTATTTACACGTATTATGACAGTCGCCTATTTCCGCCGCTGGAGCAAGAGGACGACACATTGCCACCTCTAGCCAGAAGAGGTGGATGAGCCAGTGGGGTGTGGTGTTACGATGAACTACAAAAATTATTCTCTATTACTAGGACATCTTACAAGTCAAACACTCCTGTGGATGTAGCTGTCGTTTGAGTATTGGTGATCATCAAATCCAATAGTGTAAAGTAGATTCCAAATGGCATCAGGTGTTAATGATCATCATCACACAGTGGACACCTGGAGAAAACGGATAAATACACATCTTACTTTAAAAGAAGTTTTAAAAGCCGTTTCCAAAAAGGTAAGTGCCCATTTATCATGCACTTGGTATGTTCATATTGTCAACCATTTCATGGTCATTAGATTGAATTATCATATGCATAAAAACTTACTTTCTGAAGAGTTTCAGGTCAAACACAGGGAATTATTGCTGTATTTACATTCACTGGAAAGCCATGTAGAAGACTGTATCCAGCTCATTAATATAATATGACTTAACATGACGATGATCAGAGAATCCAAAAAGAAACTGAGGAACTGTACTTGTATACTCATTCACCATTCAGAAAGTTCAAATTTAACCTGTGAGTTGTATATGGCAACACAAATTTACCACCATGAAACAGCTGGGATCTTTTGAAGGCCTAATAAACATTTTAAATAGCCAAACAGCCAATTCATTTGTGCTCTTTTGACTTCAAGGAGAAAGCAAACAATCAATTTCTGCAGTGTTAATGAACATGACAAAGAAGTTTAAAAACTCTTTATAATTATCTGAAAACACAATGAAAAGACAAGAATTTAATACTTTATACAATAGAACCTAAACTAGAATCATTATCCATTTTATTTAAATTCAAATATATTGTTATACTCCGTAGAGTAAACACGGCAGGCAGGAAGCAACATTACTGAGAGTTTAATAATTTTTTTCATTGTGCTTTGCTAAATTGTGTTAAATGAAAAAATGATGTTCTGAAACAGATGGGCATTAAAGTTATTAACAGGCATCTTATATAGCTCATAAGCCATACATACATTGTCAACTCAAATGTGTCTCCAAACAACACATATTAGATATATAATACACTTGAGAAAATAAAGTAAATGAAAACCTTTTACATGTTTTTATTTTATTTTTTCAAATAATGTGGTTTGAGGGCAAAAGACTTTTGGCCCTAATCATTTAACATATTTACTACTAAATGTTGGTACTAAAATGGAGGGAATGCAAAATGTAAAGATTCAGGAATAAAACCTTCAATGGTGAACGAGGCTCACCGGTAAACAGTAAAACTAGTTATTAACTCCATATTTAAGAGAAGGATTAAGTGAGAACCGATTAAAATTATAGAACTATCAAAGTCAATCTCAACAGGTCTGGGAACTTACTGAAGGTGCTTTAAATTAAACATACCTTTCTGTCTTTCTTACCTGAAAACAGAGTCACAGAGTGTTGGTGTTCACAATCAGTAATGAAGGAGACACTTTCTGGTTTTCCCCCTGAAGAATGTATTTGGCCCTTCAAGGATCTGATGTTGTGTCTCCCCTGGGAACATGAACCACACTTGCAGCTCTCCGGCAACAAACCTTACCACGGACCCTCTCGGGGGTCATCAGGTGTGGGAGGTGGTTCTGATTGTGCTTGTGACTGGACCTCTTTCCTTAATTACCATCCTGGGCAACTCCCTGGTGGTCATCTCCATCCGAGTCAACAGTCAGCTACAGACTATCAGTAACTACTTTCTTCTGAGTCTAGCAGTGGCAGACTTGATCTTGGGTACGGTGTCAATGAACCTATATGCTGTATACATAATCATGGGCCGCTGGACATTGGGACATTTAGCTTGTGATCTGTGGTTGACACTTGACTACGTAGTGAGCAACGCCTCCGTAATGAACCTGCTGGTCATAAGCTTTGACCGTTATTTCTCAGTCACCCGACCACTGACTTATCGGACAAAGCGAACTCCGAAGACAGCAGTGGTATTGATCGCTGTAGCATGGGTGGTATCGTTTGTGCTATGGGGGCCAGCTATCTTGTTTTGGCCTCATGTAATGGGACGACCATCGGGAGCTGAAGCTCAGACCTGTTCCATCCCGTTCTTGAAGGTACCTCCACTAACGTACGGTACGGCCATCGCTGCATTCTACCTACCCGTCAGCATCATGATCATTCTGTACTGGCAAATTTATTGGGAAATTGAGAACAGAGCGAAAGGACTTGCTAGTTTAGTTGGGTCTGTGAAAAGCACTACAGGTGTTCTGGATGGGTTGGACAAACAATCAATGCACCAAACCAGTACCAAGAGTAACTTGAGTCGCTCAAAGGAAGAAAATTCCATAAAGGGACAAGGCTTTGCCAAAGGAATGTCAGTTGGGTGTTTCAATACAACGAGAAACAAAACAGCAGCAATTTTGCAGAAGTCAGCTCAAGAGAGTTGCAACAGCAGCTGGAACATTGGAGATGAGGATGATAGCACCTTGTCTTCTTCCACAGACGAGGAACATGAGCAGAACAACAGGGCAAAAGCACCTTCCTCCAATCCAGCAGCAATTAAGTTGAAGGACCTGGACAGTAGATCAGGGGATACCGAGGGTGTGCAAGAACAATTCAACTCATCAGCGGAGCATCCCACCAGACAGTGCCACTTAAAAACACCTCGAAAGTCAGAACAAAGCATTTGCCATCAGCTCAGAGCAAAACATCGCATCAGTGCGATCATTAAAGAAAAAAAAGCAGCCCGGACGCTAAGCGCCATCTTGTTGGCTTTCATCCTCACGTGGACGCCATACAACATCATGGTTTTAGCTTCCATTTCATACTGTGTTCCTGAAAAACTCTGGCAGTTGGGATACTGGCTGTGCTACGTAAACAGCACTGTCAACCCCATGTGCTATGCCCTCTGCAATGAGTCCTTCCGGGTCACCTTCAAGGCTCTGCTACTTTGTCGGCGTGGAGATAAACGAAAGTGGGACACAAACAGCTGGAATCGCCATGCCTCTGTGAGGCAGAATAAGTCTTGTACAGTGTAATTTTTCACTTTACCATTTGTCATTCCGTGGTATGGGTGCCTTCAAAGATCAGGATACAGTGCTTCAATTGGCAGACAATAGTTTACTAAGGAACAACATAGGGTTTGTTTTAACTCTGAATAGGCCTGAATCAACTTTTATAACTACATTTCTGTGTGCCTCTGCTTTTACACAATTTGAATCTTGTCAGACACTAATGAGAAGTCATTACTTAACCTGGTGGTCATAGCTCTTTGGCTACATCAAAATAATTTTTGGCCATTTTCATTGTGCTTATTAAATGGTACTTTTAAAAAAATTTGCATGGAATATATATTTTGTAAATCATTAATATTTTCGTAAATACACAGACATATGTTTAGAGCAATGGTTCTCATTCACGGGGCCTCAAGATGTCTTAGAATTTTAGTTTATTGTAAAGATTTTGTCTCTTTTATTAAACACTTTAATTCACCCCCAAACATCTGGAATTCTACAATTTAATTACGTTTATTTTAGCTATGTATTTTTATCTATGGACAATCCGAATTTCTGTAAATCAAAAAGGTGGTGTACCTATTGAAATGTAAATGTGCACACAATACAGACACTGAACAAGCAAACAATAAGTGATGAACAGTATACTCTAAACAAAACATGTATGGTTTGTGAAGGCTTTATTTTTCTAGAAAAAAAAAAAAAGAAAAAAAAAATACCATACACCAAAAACAAAATGAATGAATCCCCCAAAAGCAACCTAACAAACAACAAAAAGAAAAAAGGGGTAAAAAACAAAACAATAAATGGCCACTTTCTCTCTAGATAAACTGTGTAGTTTTTAGAAAGATTCAGGTAAACTGGTATATTTATATTTGTTATATTTTAATAATAGTTAGTTGGCTGATACCATAAAGCTAAATTATCAAATATCCCATAATCCTTTACTATGCCTGCACTGTGAGAGTACAACAGAGTGAGTTTAAGCTAAATGTTGTGCGTAATGTATCAACAACCATGTAAGGTAAACATGCAGTAACTAAATTGAGAATGAAAAATAAAACAACGATAAGATCCTGTACATGTTATGAATGAGCAATAATTAATGTATCAGCACCTGATATAAGCCTAAACCTTTATGGAGGTCTGCCGTTATATTGAAACTGAAGACTTACAGAGTACACAGAACTCATCTCAGGTCAATTCATTTCTTCATTCAGTATACATTTACAAAGAACAGGGTTGAAAGAGCCAGCTGCATACACTGCTCTAGATTTATTCTTTAAACAAAGGAAGTTTTGGCTGGATTGCGAAATGGCAATAGAAGACAGGAAAATAGGGGAACATTTGAAGCAGGCTGTATATCTGCCTCAGCTTGCTCTAGGAAGTCAAACTAAGCTCTGGCAAATTTAGCAAATACCATACTTGCACATCTGTGTTGTATTGAATTTAGCACTGGATCACTTGAACAACCTTCCTTCACTACTAGGAAGTCAATCCTATAAGTTAAAGGGACAGTTCAACCAGTAAATTCTGTCATCATTTACTCACCCTCATGCTGTTCCAAACCTGGCTTATGACTAAATTTCTTCTGTGGAAAACAAAAGATATTTTGAAGAATGTTGGGTAGTTTTTTTTTTTTTGGTCCACACAATGGAAGCCAATCGTCCTCAAAACTGAGACATTCCTCAAAATATATTCTGTTATGTTCTACAGAAGAAAAAGTCATGCAGTTTTAAGAGTAATGACGATAATTTCATTTTTCCCATCCCTTTAAGGGACCAATAATTTATCCAATTTTCTTTAAAAAAAATGGATGAAATGGCACACATCTGATGCCATAAAGCGCCAATAAAGACCCCAGATTAAAGGACTGAAAGTAAACTTTCAGTAAAACAACAGTGAAATCAATTTAACAGATAACCAAGCCTGTGACACTCACAAAGTCCTTCTGGCATCTCTTTTCATCAGTGGTGGTTTGTGGGTATAAATGTTTTGTTTTTTTTCCTAGAAAAATTATTTGTGTAAACGTGTTACAGTAGACATCCAGAGGCAGAGCATTTTTTTGTTTTTGAGTGCCAGAAGAACCTTTGCTCACTCCAACCAATTGGCAATTTAACATTAATCTGATTAATGAACACATAGGAGTAAAATGCCCATGTAATATATGTATGGCTGTAATAAATGAAATGTAATCACAGTAAAGATGATAATTATGGCATTAAAGTTTTTTGTCCTCGTATTTCCTTAAACTAGATACATGTTTCATGTTCTTACTCAACAGCAAATCTTCCGGAATTACATGGAAAGGGATTTAACAGTCTTAGTAGAATCTATCAAACCTGACAAACTGATTTCAGCGTGGTATGTAATACATTATTCTAACTACGCCTCAATTAACTGCCAACAATTATTATATTTTCTGGACGTTCTTTTAAACTGCACTTTTTCTTTTTCAGCCCCCTCTTTCTCATTGCTTTACCCGACATCTTAAATAACCATCTTTCATTAAATTTGAACTGCTTTCTGAACACCTTAAGGGCACCCTAAAAAAAGCAACAAAAAATAATAACAATATAAAAATATAATTTAAAATCATTACCTTTACCTGCACCATTAACCCATTAGTTAGTAAAGAGCTCACACACCGACTGCTAGACTCTGTGCTTCAGTGGCATATGCAGACGCTATCATTACAGGGGGCAAAAATCCCCAAGCAACTCCCATCATAATAATGAACCATTTCTATTGTTTAAGATCTTAAATACAACACACCTTTATATGCTATACAAATATATAAATATACAAAAACACATAGTTTCTTTTTCGCTTATTATGAACAAGCATTGGCATGCTGATTGGTTTCAACTATTCCTCTCCATGATAAGCACATCTTGTCAGAGTATTTTGAATATGGCTGAGTATGCAATATTTATTTTGGCTGATATAAGCTGCATTTTATTATTTGTTTTCTGTTAAACAGTGTCTGCAGAAACAGGTGGAAATATCAGGTCTAATATGAGCAGGAACTCCAAAACAGAGTCATAATATTCTCATAATGACTTCCTCCAAGTATGTACTGCTGAAAGGGTCAGAAGAGTTTGTGTGTTCGTTGTGGGGGGCCAATAGTTGAAAACAAAGAGCAAGGGTAGTTTGAAACTTGGAACTGTGTAACAGTCATACTGAGATCAAACCTGCTGAGATGTAAATGAGGAATAAGAGAAGGAGGCCATTCTTTCTCACTCCCTCTCTCTTTCTCTCCTGCTATTTGTGTCTGAGGGCCTGGGCGAGGTGGTTGTCCCTTTTCTGTTCCACTACAACTTCTGTTCCACCTATTTTGTTTGCTTAAATCAAACAAACAAATCTTGGCAGGAACTATGTGATCGAGGATCTGTCTTTCCCAAAGGACCATCACGAGGGCGGAGCATTCTGATTCTGGTATATGGAGGCCTTCTCTTTCAGGAGAGCCAAACACAGATGACAACTCCAACTTCCTGTAAAGCAAAGCCCAAATCTGTGATTTAGCACTATGGAAGTCAACTCTATGTGCTTTGAGCATACACTACCATTCAAAAATGAATGGCAAGTAAGGTTTTTTTTTAAAAATGAGTCCCTTATGCTGCATTTACACAGCAAAAACAGTATTATTGCAAAATACTAAATACAATTTTAAATATATTTTAACATCTAATGTATTCCTGTGATGATAAATCTGTATTTTCAGCTGCCATAATTCATCTTGAGTGTCACATGATCCTTCAGAAATCATTTGTCACAAGAAATCAAATCACACTGATTTGATGCTTGAGAAACATTTCTTCTTATTATTATTATGTTTATTTGAAATATAAATTATTTGAAATATTATAAATGTTTTACTGTTATTTTTGAAATCTCACAGACCCCAAACTTAAACGGCAGAGTATGCGTGTATGAGCCATTAGTGCATGGCACTTTACCTTCAGGAGGTTCAGACATGGGGGGCGAGAGGCAGTACATGTGATAACCTCGGTCACAATCATCACAGAACAATAGCTGGTCCTGTGAAAAAGCATACTACATTACTGAGAATCCACATAGGCATCATAAACCGAGGGAGGGAGCAATTTCAACACAAGACTAGTTTTCCTTAAAGCTGCACTATGTAACTTTTTTGTGTTCAAAATTTACAAAATGTATATGAGCGAGTACATCATGAATACATTTTTCCAAACCGTGTTTTGTCTTATCCTGAATCACTGCGGTATACCTTTAAGTGTTTATATTCTGACTATTTTAGACCACTGCGGAGTAGCCCAGTAGCTGCGTGCCTCGTCATAGACAAACAGAGAGAAGTAGCTTTGTTTAGTAACCGCTAGAGTGCCAAAAGTTACATAGTGCAGTTTTAAGGAGGTTAAGTAAATTTATTTGTAACTCAAAAATGGTCATAAAACTCATGGTTCAAATCTTATTACGGTTTTTGAGTCATGGATCGGATAGTTTCTCAGCTGAGCAACAAATAAAAAGTGTGTTACGTTTCATTTTGCTTTCTATTTATTATTTACAGAACACTGAGTACTTGAATACCACAGCAAAAGTTACTAGCCTAAAAATATAAGCATAGATAAATACAATAGAACAAAGATATGAATAAAATAAAAAGTGCTTTAAGTTTTTCAGGTAGGTCTAACAGTATTCAGGTACAGCAGTCAACTATGATGATCCGTTACACCCCTACTACACAGTGGTAAACGAACTCACATCATTTTCTGATGTTCCACATATGTTACAGCATTTGCATTCAATGCACTGCCAGCGATAGGTTTTCACAGCAGCCATCATCACTGGAGTGAACTGCAGACATGAAGGGTGACCTGAAAACGAAGAACAGATTAATAATCATTTGGTCAAGAAAATTAAAAGCAGCAAGCAGGAGAAAGTGTGAGTGTTTGTTTTACCAGAACGACCACAGTCTGAGCAGGACACAAGCTCTTCTGATTGGCCAGTTTTCTGGTTCAGGTTGGAATCTCCCAAACAGAAATCACAGTAGTTGTTCGGCAGAGCCAAACCGTCTGGGCCCTTTTTTGGAGCTGCCCGAGAGAGAGAGAAAGAGAACAGAGAATACCCAACATTACTTCAAAACACACCAATCAGTGTTCATTGAAAATTATACAACCCAACACTGTCCCTAAAAGCTAAAACATCTATTCAAAATCTAGTTAGCTGCCTTGTAGAAGGGACTACGAGATGCTGGCTATGTACAGCATTCCATTTAAGATGGCAGGCAAGGTACCCCACTAGGTTTTAAAATAAGCCATTCTATCAATACTTGTGTACCACACTGCCAACCAGTTAAGAGTTTAATCTATAATAGGTTTTATTGGCTATATATATTGACTAAAATATTTCATGACACTCCCAAGTGACAAAGTTAAATGGCCTCTGCTTCTTTGGCTACCAGAGTCTGTGCAACAACAAAGCATGATCAATTGCTTACTCTTTGGTTCATCCTGTTGGGGTGGAGTTGGTTCGCGAATGTCCATCTCATCTTTCTCCTCCCCCTCCTCCTCAGCCAAGTGAGAGTGGGCGTAATGATAACTGAGACCAGGCCTGTTCTTATAGCGCTTCCCACAGACTACACACACACACACACAGAGATCAAAATGACAGTTATAAGTGCCCTCAGTGGTCATATGCACCGAAACATCATCTGTACTTCAGCAAATGGGGCATGACTGCTTCACACCAAAAGCTCTCTCATGCATGCACCATTATCATGCCCACATGCTTGCTACTGGACAGTTGAGAGATCATTCCACCGCTCCTGGCTCTTCTGATCTTCATTAATTCTCATTCTTCAACACCACGGCAAATGTTAATATGTTTACTCAAAAGATCACTTAAACACAGGGTTCCTACACATTTTCCATTTCAAAAACCTTTCTGTAGATTTTTCAGACCATATTTAAAATAAATGGATCATGCAGCATTATGTTCAGCATTTCATTTGGTATAGTACAGTCATCTGTAAACATTCTTAATTTCCCTCTTTTTCCATTGGTTTTCTCAAAGTGATGTGCTTAAATGAGAAGAAACCGAAAGCACTTTATAACCTGCATATATTCACCTCTGACACATCAGTTCGATACTATAATCGTGGTTTGATGTTGAATGATCACCAAACAGCAAAGTACAAATCATTTGTTCCTTTATCTGTTGCTGGTTTGAGTGGCACATGCACATTCGATTAGTGAAGTTCAAAAGAGACTCGCTTATGTTAAAAGACAGAGCTTTGAAAAATGAAAATGTGTGCCTTGAATTTATTCAATTGTGTTCAACAATCACTAAACTTTTGCCATGAAACCAATGCATGTATGATACATTTTTTTAGAAATTCTTAATTTTATATTTTAGAAAACTGAAACGGGCCAATAGTCTGGAAACACAAATATTTTTCCATATTCTGTTTTCTTTTTTCCATACTTTTCCACACCTAGAAATGACTCAAATTCCATACTTTTCCTGCGTAGGAACCCTGTAAACAACAGCGATAGTTCACCACAAAATAATCATTCTGTTATTTATTTAGCCACGTCGTTCCGAAATGGTACGACTTATTTCCTTGCATACAACCAAGTAGCCTTTTTCCATACGATTGGTCCCCAAATTCAATTTCATTGTATGAAGAAGAGAAGCTTGGTCATTCTGTTAAGCCAGGTTCACACTGTACGATTTTGGCCATGATTTTGCCTTCGGAGACAAATTTTGCAAATCCTAAAAGATTCCTGATTGTAGTTTACAATTCAATTCTGGCAGTGTCAGAAGTCAAGGCACAGTCATGCAGCATGAGTTCTCCTCCGACCACTGTCAAATCAAAAACCAATAGGAGCGCCGAACCTGGCGACAACAAACCACCACTTGCTCCACACACACACAATTTTTTTTTGTCTTTTCAAGATTTTAGTTTTTCTTTGCTAGCCACCATTTCAGCCATCATCTGTAGACTATACACCAGTCAAGTAAGCATTAAGGTACAAGAGGCTGTGATGTATCGTGAGTAAGTCACGGCTGAAGGGCATTGCAGGCACGCAGGCAATTATTTACTTATTCACGATACAGCACAGCCTCTCGTACCGTATTGCTTACTTAACTGGCGTACAGTCTGACATTAATGACATCTGAGATCCCATAGTTTGGAATGACTTATACTGGGATCATGTTCGTACAGTCTGACAAGCAATAATTGTAAAGGACTATTATAAATTGTACAGTGTGCACCGCAGCTTTAGACAACACCCTTACTGTTGCACACTAGAAAGTTATTTGGTCTGAACGACATGATGGGCATGATGACAATTGTCACTTTTCAGTGAACTATCCCTTTAAAACCGTAAGCATCACACATTTGGGGAAATAGGATTGATCAATCCTTAAGCAACTTAAAAATAGAGGCACTATTTGAATCTAATCAGAAAAGGAATGAGAAAAACAGGGAGCAACCTCGAGGTGAAGAGAAGAATGAGTATTACAAGCAGCGATGAAAAGAACTAAAAAACAGAGACAACACAGAACAAGTAATGAAGAGTAAAGAGGTGAATAGAGGTTATATAAAAAGCAGCAATTTACATGTCAAACAATTTCTAAGTATTAACCGGGGATGGGATATTTCAAAGTATTGTGATTTTTTTTTGTGACAAGAACAGCCAATTTAGGATTGTGGTTTCCCCGGTTCCCACAACTATTTTGGGGAAAAAGGGGATACGAGAAAGTGTAGGAGGAGAAATGTTCAGTAATTAATTTTATGCAGTCCCCCCGGGGACTGCATAAAATCAGCATATTACAATGATTTCTAAAGGATCATGTGACACTGAAGACGTGATGCAAAGATGCATTTTCAGCATAATAAAATTCTCCTAAGAATAAAATACATTTTTTAAATATATTAACTTAGAAAACAGTTATTTTAAATTGTTGATATTTTACTAATATTACTGTATTTTTGATCAAATAAATGCAGCCTTGGTGAGCATAAGAGACTTCTATAAAAAACAACTTTTGAACAGTGGTGTAATATTGTATGAGCAGGTCCCTGCTGATGCCGAATCATAAGATGCATGCAAGTAAATAGTAACAGAGTTGCTGTAAGTATAAAGTGCTTTTCAAACAGTTAACAATTAGAACTCCTCAGACTGGGAAGTTATATTGAGTCATGCTGCCGAGAAAAACCCGCTTGGACGTGTCTGAACATTTCACCTGGCCCGAAGGCAGTACAGCTTGTTTAGGGGGGGGAAAATAAATTAACTCTGTGGAAAAAGTCTTCATCTGAATCTGCTGTCACACTTAACGCTGTTCAGGCAGTTTTTCTTAAACCCCCCCCCCCAAAAACAACAACCTAATTTCAAATAAAAAGTTCGGTACATTCTTGTCAGGCACAAATCATGTTTGCAATGCACACAAAATAAAGAGAAAGCGGAAAACCAAGACATGAGCGGATGGGGAAGGAGAAGAAAAAGACAGAATCAGGGAAGGAGAACTACCGGTAGATGGAAAGAGAGAGAGAGAAAGAGAGCAATATACCTCTTTCGGAAGATTTTGAAATATGCTTTTGTTTGAAAGTGTCTGAAAGAGAGAAGAAAGAAAGAAAAAAGAGAGAAAGAAGAGAAAGACTCACAGACTGAAAACAAATATCAGAAAATCAGGAGAAATAAACTCAAAGAACATTTGCATCACAGTATCATGACACATTTAAGAGACACAAATGCAGAGAATAGAGATCCAGAACTACGAAAGTACAACATGAAACTTGAAATCAATTGGACATCAAGTATAAATTGTCCTCTGGTTTACAAGATTAAGATAACTACTTTAATCAGGCTAGATGTGCGATTGGTAAACCAAAGCATACAGAATAGTAGGCTTTTTGAGATGTTTTCAATAAAAATGTGCATTTTTTTGTACTTCTGGCTTTCATGAATAGACAAGAGCGAGCTGATTGTGAAATGATTCTCAAGTTTAGTGTGTCAGTCAGATACAGTACAGCTCAGCCTTTTTATAGCAAAGAGAAGTCGATCTCCAGATGAGATCACCGAGAGGTCAGCGGGTTGAGTCATGTGGTTCCCCTGAATGCCATATATGACTCACTGTCACAGGCGTACGGTCTGTCCCGATCTTCCAAAGCTGCTGCTGCTTCCAACTTCTTCCGAGCGCTGCTGACACCACCACGACCCTGTGTAACCATTATCATCATAACTATAACCTTTTACAGGTGTTGTGCCTAACATAGGCCAGGGGATGGGGAACGACAGTCCTGGAGTGCCGCTGTCCTGCGGAGTTTAGTTACAACCCTAATCAAACACACCTGAACAAGGCAATCAATGTCTTCAGGATCACTAATGCCGAGTTCACACTGAACGAGTTTAGGCCCGATTTTCGCTCGCCGACAGGTTTTGTGAGATCACCGACAAATGCCCGAAATCACAGGCAAATCGGTGCTCGTTCACGTGAGTGACAATCACGCAGTGTGAATTATCAAAGACGCGATCTGAGAGAATCACAGACGCCCGTGAGTTATTTGGCATGCTAAATATCTGGACCTGTCGGTGATTCAAAATCCTGCTGTGTGAATGTGTTCTGACTGAAAACTACATCGGCGATGACCGACAGCCAATGAGAGAGCAAGAAACAGGACAGCGGGATGTTTGGGGAGGAGTAATAGACCAGAATATCAGTATTTTAATTAGGGGTGGCACGGTACATGAAAAAACATCCGAACCGTTCGGTTCGCAGCGTGTGTGTGTGTCTCACGGTTCGACGCATGTGCAATGTAGCCTCGTGCCCGTATGTGACCTCAGACGTGTGTTTCCTTTTCGCGCGAAATAAGACGTGTGTGGACATACAGTCATATGAGGCTTGTTCGAGTTGAACCGGCGCTGCACAGAGCGATCGGTGAATGACATCAAAGTACAGCGAGCGGGACGGCTCCGTATGCTTTTCAATCACTCTCGCGGTACTTTGATGTCATTACCGATCGCTCTGTGCAGCGCCGGTTCAAGTCGAACACGCCAGTAAAAGTGGAGTATGGAGTACTGCAGGTCATGTCACGCGGAGAAGTGGCAAGTGGGAGAGATAAGGAAGGCTAACCGGAGTTGGAGGATGCGCCAGCGTCGTATAAGTCCGGTGTGTGGGAACATTTTGGATTTCATGTTATGATATTTAAATATATAGCAGCTACAGTGGCACTTTAAGTTTAGTTAAGAACTCCAGTCATGTTTCCAAATACTGCACTTTAATTTCAAGTGAAAAAAAGTGTATCCTCACTCTCAGGGAATAGAAGCATTGTTGATACTGTTTTTGTGTTGAGGTTAAACTTATGTTTCACTTTATGATTATGGCCTTTGCTATTGCTATAGCCTAATTACAGGCAATTATGTTTCATGTATTTTGACTTATTTAAAAGACAGTTTTAAGAGTTCCTCTCTTTTTCTTTTAAAAGATACAATTTTTGTAAGAGCTACACTTAAGTTGGCAGTTTGATAAATGCAAGTTAATTTCAATCTTTGTGTGCTAAAAATGCACATAAGTTCCTGTAGAGATAGTGATACACATTCTACTTCTTTTGCCAAATAAACGAAAAGCATGTCATCAATATCTTCTCTCTTGCTGTATCAAAATCTCACATAGCTTTCCTCGGAGATGGTCCCAATAATGCGCTTAAAGTCCAGTCAAATTCAGTTTGTGCATGATTGCATGATATAACATTTTTGTTAATACTGTATCCTAAATTGTGGATAATTAAGCTATATATCATATGCTGAAGTACATTTCTGGAGTGTTAAAGATTAAAAGAAAAAGAAAAAACAAGAACCGTACAGAACCGAAAACCGTGATACAAACCGAACCGTGGGTTTTGTGAACCGTGCCACCCCTAATTTTAATAGATATATTTACAAATATATCAAACAGAAACAAAGCACAAACATTTGCTTGACCACCAGCACATTGCAAAATTATTTATTTACTCTTTACAGAACACACAATCCTTGCTCCCCTCGTCTCCCCAACCATTTCCTCCTACATAATCTGTTTTTCTTCTCCTTTTCGCTGCAAATCAGCGCACAGACAATTAGGATCGCAAATCTTCTTGCAGGCTATCATTTTTAATAACAATTTCGGTCTCACACACACGTGATCTTGTTTTATTTCCTTATCATTTCTCGCCTGTGTTTGGTTGTCAAACGTAGTTTTTGGACCAGACAGAAGTTGTCAGCGATTCTTTCTTTTGTAAAGTCATGCAGTGTGAAACCTCCTGTCGCCGATCCATCGTGCAGTGTGAATAGAACAGTGACCCGACTACTTTGAAAATGGTGCAGTGTGAATTCGGCATAAAGCAGGTGAGGTTTTTTTTTTTTTCAGGGTTGGAGCTTAACTCTGCAGGACAGCAGCCCTCCAGGACAGACGTTCTTCATCCCTGACATAGACTATGTATGTGTACATGATATTTACAAGCACAAGTTTAGAAGATCAAGATCTCACCTTTCCCTTGCCTTTTCCCCTTCTCTTCGGAGTATCTTCCTCATAATCTTCATCGTCAAGATCATCTAGAAAATCATCTGGCTCCAAAATTCTCTACACATACACACAAAAAATAAATAAATCAGACAGAATAACCAAGCAAGGTGAGATTTCAACAAAAACACCCTAAATCCAAATCATCACTTGTTCTCAGTACCTTTCGGACCCTGCTGCTGGGGTTTAGTGCCCCAGTGGAGAGCTCTATAGAGCTGGGCTCCTCCTCCCCTGTGCGGAGCTCCAACCCTGACCTTTTATCCAGTGGCTCTCCTTTCAAAAGAGCCTCTAAGCTGCTTCCATCACTGGAGAAAACTTCCTTCTTAAGCCCCAGATCCAGCTCTGAAACATACACACACACATTCACATCCATAGGCAACTGCATAGAGATGGATAGAAATATCACCAAAACATACAGAAATCTAAATTACATGAAAGTGAAACACAAATACCTAGACACAAATCTATGAACGGGCTACACACAGGGAATTACAAACAACATCTCTTCAATGTTATAGCTTGTTTTCATATGACGTCACGCCACTGCGTTGCCATGGCGCGAAATGCAAATGGAGGGCAGGAAGTGATTTGCTGTATTTAGAAAGCACTATAACAAACTCAAAATGCCTATGTTTTGCGACGTTTATGGTTACTTAAATCGATCAAACTACGATGAGTTTTTATCGTGTACCAAAAGTTGTTGTTCATAAGGGGGGGGGGGGGGGGGGGGGGGGGGATTTCTTGCACCGAAAATTTCTTTTCGGTGCAAGAAATTGACCGAAAAACTCCGGAAAAACGGCTTGCAAACCTACGTCTGCGGTTGGGAAGCGCGGAATGGGAAAATACCCGTGTGTGCAGTGATCACTTCGTCAAAGGTGAGTTAATACAACTTAAGTGGCTATGTTTGTGTAACGTGTAACGTTTCCAAACTTTGTAAAGTCAAAGTATGTCTGTAAGACGAGGTAGTTGCTGATATCTACCACCTCGATAGCAGGAAAATCTTTAAATTCAGTTGAAAAATCGCTCCTCTTCATAACGTAAGGATCACGTCCAACATATGTTTGATTTTTTGTTTATTTCTTTCTCTTGTAATAGCGTGTAAAGTAGTACAGTACGGACTTTCCTCCATTGCGCTCTTCACTCCCTGCCCTCCATCTGAATTTCGCGCGTCATCATAATCACGTGACTGAAACCCAGCTATTAACACGATCTCTCACAGAGGAAGAGAGTGGCTGCATACCGGACTTTAGAGATGGGAAGGCTAGACGAAGGTCCTCTGGAGGGAGAGCTCTCCTCTTCTTTCTCCAGCGACGTGCTGGATAAGTGTACAACTGACCTGGGGCAACACCTTTGGTGAGAGGGAGATGAAAAAGATACATGCAATCAGTCATGTCTTATGTTTCGGCTAAAAAAAAAAAGATTTCGAAGTCAAAATGACCCGAGGGAAGGATGAGGGTTAAACATCCAATCCAATCCCTATTTTTAAGTCTAGTTCTAGGAACAGATAGTAGATCAGAGTCCCCCGATCTGAGTGATCTTGACTGTGTGGGCGGATGTAGTAGTTCAGATAGGTACTGTGGAGCCTGGTTCTGCAAAGACTTAAAAACAAATAAAACTTTAAAATCAATTCTGTACTTAACCGGTAGCCAATTTTGAAGCAGATTTTAGCCTACATTACAAAGATGGATGCCGCATCCGTCGAACATCACTCGTTTGAAACAGCTATCGCATCTGTTTGAAGTGATTTAAACGTTTCCTTTTTGTTAAAAATCGAGCACAGAACAACACTCAGAGGAGAGAGAGAGAGAGAGAGAGAGAGAGAGAGAGAGAGAGAGAGAGAGAGAGAGAGAGAGAGAGAGAGAGAGAGAGAGAGAGAGAGAGAGAGAGAGAGTTTTTTCGGTCAATTAATATTGGTATTTTGACAACTCTATTGAAAAAGCAGAGAAAAGAAAAGAAAACCTGTTCTGTAAACTGATCACTGTGCCTGAGTGTGTCCCACCTGGTCCCCTGTGTCGTTTCTCCATCCAGAAGTAGCAGTTGCTCTGGGCGACACCTGTCTGAGAGTCGAGGAAAGGCATCCTCACGCTCCTCTCTGCGCACAGACGGGCATTATAGTTGTGACACTGCTCCATAGCGTCCCTGTAATACTGCTCACCCAGCCTTCAGACAGAGCAAGAGAGACAATAAATGCAACAGCTTGAACCAAAACTAAGTTTAACCAGAGGGGCTTTCTGAAACTCACACAGAGTCTAGAGAAGCCATCTTCTGTTGGGCAAAAGCGATAGTGTCTCAACAACACAAACCCTAGCACTGCCACCCTGAAACCAGCTCAACTCTGTTCAGCTTACCCGCCCGTGAGTGTTTGTATGCAGCGGGAGGTCTTGCAGGCATGCAGCCCAGTCAGTGTAACTCTCTCACTCCAGCCACTTAGCAGGTGCCGATCCCGCCCGTCACCCCGGCAACCGCTAAGAGCCCCGGAGAGAGAGCACAGGCCAGCTAAAGCCTGTGAGATTAGAGCACAGACGGGCGTTGATGTCACAGAGGATGAAACAAAAGCTTAAAGCTTTGCTGTGTTAGAACCAAGAGCTCTGAGGGGTTTAGAGCCCAGACAACAAAACAGCCCTGGGATGATTGCCTGCCTCCTCCAAGACACCAAATCACAGAGCTACAGCTTCAAAAGGGATTCATATTCCACAAACCAGCAACTCGGACAACGTTAATACCTGCTATTAAGATCCACCTTGTGGGCAGCACTAAATATAGGTGTAAATGGGGTCCAGTGTTTTGTGAACCAATGAATCAGAAATGTGACCACACTGAATTGGTAGTGTAAACATTAACAGCAAATGACTGCCTATACACCCATCAACCTGCTAAAATGTTAAAAGTCCAATTTCATATTGGATGAGCCACATTGAAAAATAACTAGAAACGTATAATCATAACCAGCCATGAATGCTGTGAAAGTATGCATGTGCTATTGTGCTAGTAGGGCTGCACGATTAATCTTCAACAGATCCACGATCCCGATTCAAACACCATGCGATCTAATTCCTAAATCACAACGATTCACAATCACCAAGTCTATTGAACCTTTGACAAGTACGATCACATTCACAAAGAACATTCAAATCTGCATTTGTGCTGCCGCTGAGCCAGAGAGAGCAGTTGTCATGTATTAGATATGAAACCGCTTCACAAAAAAGGCATTTCAACCTCACAGACAGTATCAGTATTTCGGTTACAATAATTCAAATGATCACAGAAGTACTGGGATAAAAGTTTATAGTTCAGATATAAACAATGATGTCTACAGTAGTGGTCAAAATAGAGAAAATCACTTTTTGAAAGTAACTTGATGCTTCAAATAAAGATTGTATTGCTTACATCGATACACCAGTAGGTGTCCACAATCAACTTTTTAAAAAATGTATTTGAAGAGAATTGTTCAAAAACGCTGATTCATGCAGTAATGAAACAAGTCTTTATGAGTGAGTTGTTGAATCATTCATTCAAACAAAAAAAAGTGTTTAAATACTACAGAACTGCAGCAACTAACATTTTGTCAGAACCTCTAGTAAAAAAATGATTATTTTGTTTAATTATTATCATAGGAGAATCAGGATCTCTGTTAAAAAAATGGATTCTGAATTTAATCAGAATTGTGCAGCTCTTGCATGTGCTTTTCCAATTTTCTAAGTTATCACCCGAGGCAGATAACACCAAGTGTAAACAGGCTCAAAGTCAGACACCAGACCCTTAAAAAAAAAAAGACTGCACACATGAGGCTAACACAATTACTACTAACCCTAAATCCTAAAGCACTCATAACAGTAACATAAAACTAGACTAAAAATTGTTTTAGTTAACTGAAATAATCTGGAAATAAAATAAATATTAGATGAAAAAAATTATACTTCAACTGAAAAAAAAAGAAAGAAATGTTGCCTTGGCAACTAACTGAAATAAAATAAGTTGAAGTACTAAAATCACTAAAACTGAATAAAATAAATTAAAGCCAAATAAAAAAATATAACAAAAAGCACAACAAAATGACAAACTAAAATTAAAATTAAAACTAAACTAAAATGTAAAAAAAAGCCAATTCATATTATTAAGAAACACTATAATAGTACATGAATAATACTAAAATAAGAGTGCCTGATAGATCAGAGTAAGCGTTTGATACAGCAAAATTAACTCTACTAGTGGACAAATTGAGTAAGACGTGTAGGTTATTGCTTGGTGTTCGATTTGTTCTTCTAATCACAGACCATTTAAAAGAAACTACGGATGGGCACTTTTGTCAATTTCTCATTTCGATCAGTGACTACGTTTACATGCAGCCAATAACCCGTTCAAAACCGGGATATTAGCAATAACCCGGTCGCGAACGGCCATGTAAACACCGGCAAAAACCCGAATATGCTCATATCCCGGATTTTAAAAACCGGGATATTATACCTGGGGTACCCCTTTTCTAACCCGAATTTTTGGTCATGTAAACGCGCATCGGCATGTCCCCATAGTGATGTGTGTTCTGCGCATGTTCTATTCGCAAGGAATCTTGGTCTTTTGAGTAGAGAAACTTCTCGGCGCATACAAAACCCCGCGTGCAGTATACCGGAAGTAAACATGACGAGACACAGCACAGCATACTTTTGGAGCGAGGTCAGTAACGTTACCAGCACCAAAGCGCAAACAAAGGCGATCGCTATCTGCCCCGAACTATTCATTATCCGCGTGCTGCTGTTGTTGTTGTCTTTGGATACAGGAAGAAGAATCGGAAATGACGCATATTGCGTCTTAAGGTTGTCCGTACGTCCAGACGCTAACCGCGCGTCGCGTTTACATCGGGATATTGCAATTCCATGTATACAGGAGTAACTCTCTCTGCTCACGCATGTAAACGGGTTATCCCTAATGTTTCAGAAACCCGAATAGTGACCTTAACCCGACCATAACCCGAAATTTGGCTGCATGTAAACGTAGTCAGTGATAGGTCTCAATAAACGAGTACTCGGGGGGGGGGGGGGGCGGGGCGGGGCGTGTCCGTCATGAAGATAATGAAAATATTTTAAGACTGTTACGAAAATTAATGTTGACAAATAGAAATATGACATGAAAACATGTCTATGAAAACGTGAACATACGACTAGAAAAAAATAACTGATAGATTACTGGGTTTCCCGCAGCACTTTGAAACTAAGGCGGCCGCCTAAGCAACACACGCCTGCCGCCTTAACTACGTCGTCAAAAAAAAATGATATGAGCGATATCCGCCGTGTTACTCTGTCCTGTTTTCTCCATTTCAATCTTGTGATAAGCCTTCGTGTTCGCTAATCTTGTTATCAGCGCGTTCTTCCGCAGTGGCGCCGAGCACGTCAGAACAAATTGTCCCTAATTTGTCCCTTAATGTAAAAGGTGTGACAAAAACAGTTATGCAATGTTGTGGATTTGGCTACTACAGTGTCCTAAACTCATAGAAACACGTTTAGGACTGAATAAGGAAATGTGTCTCCAGGAGTTACCAGGACTGTCAAACTCAGGTTTGAGGTTACTAAATCAAGTTTAATTCAATTCAATAATTTAGGAAATATTATTTTATCAGTAAGAGATGAGTTGTCAACATAATGTCCATATGGCAGTAATATACAGCTATAATATAATACAAGTTGTGTACGTACTCAGTTAAGCAGACACGAACGTGTTAAAGGGTTAGTTCGCCCATTTAAGACATGAAGTTGTATGCAATCCTTACCAGCACTATAGTGCATACACACTGACCCACTCTGTTGTCACCTCCCTGGTCAGAGTTCTGGCCGCTGGAAGTTTTGCAATAAAGTACTCCCGGTTATTTTCCGGTGCCACAAAACGTTTTTACGTGAAAAAATAATTTGCGTTTCAAAGCTTGATTAATTTACCACACAAAAAACACGCCGGTCAAAATTCATACCTCAGTTTTAATCGGCACTATTTTAGATCCATTTCTATCAATCCGCGCTGCGGTCAACGGCAACAGTGCGCACGTTCCGATCGTGTGATTTTTTTTTCCCAAACCACTTCAGCGGAAATCCCGCCCTGCAGCTGATTCTAAAGTTGTCATTGGTCATGTCAATCACTGTACAGATTGCCTACACCAAACACTGATCCCTAAACCTACCCGTCACTGTAACCTAAACCAATGAAATCGGCTGCAGGGCGGGATTTCGTGGTTTGGGGGAAAAAAAAAAAATCACGCGTTCCGATCAGCTGTTCCATAGTGTTTACACAATCGATTGACAACGACGTAAAAAGTATTAAATTAACAATGGTGCGAACTTGTAAATTCCCAGGCTGTGACCACAATTGTGCCGGGATCAAAGTTCAGATTCCATCGTTTTCCTGTTTCGAATATAACTATGAGACAGCTTTGGCTGGTTGCCATCGGCTACTCTGCGGGAGCTAAAATATCCAGAATAAAGGATTTTCGTGTGTGTAGTGCTCACTTCAGCGAAGACGATCCCCAACCAAGGAGGAAAAGGAAAATTAAAGAGTTTTGCTGTACCAGTACCACGGGTAAGCTCTATTTACTAACTTTATGATTAAACTGATGTTTAGACTCCATTATAAAACACGTGAAAAGATGTCTAATATAAAAACAGCCAGCTATAGGGATATTGGTACAATTTGCTGAGAAAACTATTTGATTGAACACACACACAATTGAGGTTTTGTGTTGCAATCAATAACATTGTCGTTGTGCTAAAATTACTTTCATCATCTGATCCGTCTGACATTGTGCTAAAATTGGTTTCATCATCAGAAGTTTCGCAGTCAGACATGTTGTCAGCGAGTCGCGCTATCAACAGCTGATCGGAACGTGCGCACTGTTGACGTTGACAGCAGCGCGGATTGATAGAAATGGATCGAAAATAGTGCCGATTAAAACTGAAGTATGAATTTTGACCGGCGTGTTTTTTGTGTGGTAAATTAATCAAGCTTTGAAACGCAAATAATTTTTTCACGTAAAAACGCACAGTTTTGTGGCACCGGAAAATAACCGGGAGTACTTTATTGCAAAACTTCCAGCGGCCAGAACTCTGACCAGGGAGGTGACAACAGAGTGGGTCAGTGTGTATGCACTATAGTGCTGGTAAGGATTGCATACAACTTCATGTCTTAAATGGGCGAACTAACCCTTTAAGGCCTGTTCCCACCGGGACGAATTTCGCGCGCGATATTCGCCGACGTTTAACGCCTTGTGACTAAACAAAGCACGCCAATGTAAGTGTGCACACCGACGCGAAAAATGCCACACGTAAAAGCGTCATTTTTTAAAAAACGCCTCGGGTTAGTTTTTATAGTTTGACGCGCTGCGTCAAAAACCATCCGACCAATGAGATTGGCGCTTTTGCTCACGTGTCTGGATCTTCTGAAGTTACAGTAAAACACAACTTGGGGGCGCTCAAACACAAAACGGTCTTGCCGAGCACACATACGTAACGCGAAGAAGATATACGCCAAGTAGCGTCTACACTGCCGGGAAGAAATAAGACGAGGAAGATGCAAGGCAAGATGAATGTAGAGCTGCTGGTCTCGTTGGTGTCGGAACATAAAGAACTATATGACAAACGCGACAGCGACTACAAAAATCTTGATAAAAGAGAACTGTTATGGAGTGGTATTGCAGAGCAAATGGGAATGTCAGGGAATGAATTTGCATGTTCACTCCGCTCATCGTCAGCAAAAATCGCTTGGGTGTGAACACAAAAAACGCGTTGAAAAACGCTGGCGAATAACGCACGCCGATATTCGTCCCGGTGTGTACGAGCCTTTAGGCAGCAGTTACAACTTGTATACAATTTAAGGATAGTATTAAAATATAAGGATAATATTTTATAGTTTTTTTTATGTCAATCCAAAGTTGGTGTCATCTGAATTCTTCGCAATTATCGGCATCGCCTGAAACTAGTGCTGCACGATTAATCGTATCGCAATCGTAATCGCGATGTCAAACCTATGCGATTATATAACGCAAAATGCCGCGATTTTATATGAAATAAACAAATTAGGGCTATTAACGCAGCATCTCTTCTTTTTTGTCATCCTTTGACTAGTGTTACATGATCCCGCTCTTCGTGCAAATGCCTTAAAGGAGCTGTATGTAAGATTGTGGCCAAAACTGGTACTGCAATCACTTTCAAATTACTGTAGAGTGGTGTATCCCCTCCCCCTCCCCCCTGACTCGAGGTTGCCAGATCGGCTGCAGGATCCAGCAGGAACGTGACGAGCTGCAGCTGTGGTAACTAGAGCAGAGCTGGCAACCCCGGATCCCGCAACACTACTGACTTCGTAATTGGTAGATAGGTGGAGGGTGGAGCATCAGACCAAAACACAACATGACAACATCAACATCAGTTGAGGGCTGCAACTGCACTTTTTAAATGACAATATCCTGGCCGGACTACTGTTGTCAGTGATATAAGTATTTGAAATGTACATGATTTCTTAATGTCTAGTGATATATCAGGGCCATTTTATGATTAATTGAAATACATTTCTTACATACAGCTCCTTTAAGTTAAAACCATTTTGCACGACAAGAAGTCAAAAGAGAGCGCGCTGCCTGTGAATGTCCTGAATGTGACTCAGAAAAACGCGCGCCAGTATAATGCGCAAAAACAGACCGGGTGCCAGAATACAGTTCTCTTTCGAGCTTGAACGAACAATTACACACACAATTATGCCAAAATGTCGTTTTGTCGATTATCTTCATAACATAAGAGCAGTCTTATGATGGACGAAAAGAGTTGTGCTTGTGAGAGAATGAGGCGCGTGTGAGATACGCGTCTCGGCAACGGCTGCTCTTAAAGGGCCAGCAGCGAATAAAGCGTTCCGTCAGTAAAGTTAATCAAAGAACAAAGGGAACAGAAAATTACTCACTGCTCTTGACTAAAGAAGTTTTGTAGCTTTAATAAGGATTAGTCTATATATAATTTATAATTCATGCAGCGCAGACTGTTTGATAACTTTATTCAATTTCTGTACATAAATCTGTATATAAATCCTCAATCCTACCTGTTAAAGAGCATATTGCAGGTAAAAAAAAATCTAAATTAATATATAACCTTGTATGAAAATACCATATGAAAAGGTAATGCAGGATTTAAAATGTTTTAAAACGACACAAGGGCACAAATTTAGTAGATAAAGTGAGCATTTCTTTGACTGCTCGTAAAAACCGTTTTTTTTTTTTAAACATCGCGTCATTTTACGTCACCAGAGGGAGGGAGCCTCAGTAGCGCAGATAGGTTTGTATGTACAAGCGGGTAAATTTGCTTTTTTATTCTCAGAATGACAATTTGGAATGTAAAGAACAACATATTATACAGTTATTTGTTTTATTAGGAAAATACCATACACTGATTCATAAAAAGAATTGGGCGTTTTTTTTTCACATTTTATAAATGACTTCACATTATATGTAGGCTACATCTCTTGGAACAAACTAAAAACAAAAAAGCAATGAAAACATGTAATGCTTTGAAAGCACTGGATTTTATGTAAAACTTTTTTTGTATTTTTTATTTCCTGGCAGGTAATGTTAATGTGATATTGTGAATATGTAAAACCTCTTGTTCTTGTGGCATCGAATAAAAAAAAAAAAGTCAGTGAGAGCGGTCGTGAATCAGTGTTTTCGGTATAGTTTTTGTATTTTAATTTATCATCGTCATGGTAAATTATTGTGTTTGTGGAGGTTGCAAAAACTCCGGCCTGTCAGGACATCGAGTCCACAGGTTTCATAACAAGAAAAGGGACGGTGCTGTCTATCTATCGTGCCTGTGTGCGGTTTGTGCAGCTGCGAGACAGGATTTCTCTTCCGCATCGGCTTCGAAAAACGCGATCGTGTGTAGCGTACACCAGATCTGAGGAACAAAAACGTGTAGGCTATATCAGGAATAAAAATATCTATGTCTCTCGATGAGAAAACGCTAAGTTATATCATGTAACGTTAGTCTGGATGGATATTAATGAGCATGACATACGCGCCTGATCAAAGCTTATAGTTTATTCTGTTATTGGTAAATTCCAATACTCCTAGATGACCAATAATAGCTTTGCTATTAACTGATATACGATGGTAATAATCTGTACAATATTGTGAGCACAATGTATATCGTTAGCGAACGTGTATATAGGCTATATATATCTATAAGTTAGCGGTGGTCTCTCACCACGACACCTGCCGTGGCGGCGTTTTAAATAGGCCTGCATTCCCCTCTGTGCATGTAGAACAACGACATTATCGAACGATATACACCACATTTTACCAAACAGAATGAACGATGCACTATTAACTCTATTGCACTATTAATTAAAACTCACAGTGAACAGCATTAAATATAAAAACACATATGCCTTACCTTTTTGTTGCAGTGCAGTTTTTATTGCAGTGATAATGTTTTGCCGACAGCACTACAGTCCTCATTTTTTTATTGCTGCTTCCATTCTCCTGATTGCTATTATTTAATTTCTTCGTTAAAAAAACATCCAGGGAAGATTGAAAAGGCCTGTTCTTTTAATGTTTACTCAGTATCTGACAGCTAGGCTAATCAAAAATAGCGTGATTAAGTGATGCAATAAACTGCGGCTGCGCACACTCACTCCACGCAAGTTTTTTTTTATAATAATAGGCCTACTTTTGCAATAATGTGTGTCTCCTCTGACCGTTGTTCTGTCTAACATTAATCCTGGCCTGTCCCTGCTCTCTCAGCATCATAGCAGGCTCATAATTGTAAGGCTGTCGTCCGTGGTCTGTCATAGGAGTAAGTCCGAAATGTCATTGCGATCCATTGTTTTCCTGTTGTTTGAATGGTTTGAATCGACCGCTCTCCCGCCCGTTACGTCACGCCCGTCACGCCCATTTTCAGATGCGGAAGTAAAATTCTCTCACAAAAACGACTCCAGAAGCCAATGTAACGTTTTTTTTAGTATATTTTAAAGAAAATCTAATTACTACATTGTTTTTCTATACATTGACTCGTTGGGTCCTCTAACCTGCAATATGCCCTTTAAGACAGGAAGGGCACAGGTAAATATGGCATTTATTATGGGTTTATGTGAGGATTGTTTGAAGTTCACTTAATTTAAAAGCTGTTTTTTTTTTAAGCCTAATAAATATTTTAAAAGTTGATAGCTTTCAATTGTATTGATGGAATCACTGTAATGTTGGATGGCTATAATTAACGTTTAAAATGTGGGGGGTGTCGTCATTTTTATCCAGACATCAATGGTTTATTTATCATTATAGGTGTTATCAATCATTTAGTTGTTGTTGCTAGTTTGAGTTGAGAAATACACATTAATACACATAATGATCACTAATCTGTGTGTGCATTTTACTTTAGAACCAAGCAAGTTGACTCATGAAACCATTTGTTTATTATATCGCAATCGCATATCGCAATCGCAATATTGACCTCATTAATCGCAATATGACATTTTCCTCAAATCGTGCAGCCCTACCTGAAACCATCGCGAATAACTCACTCACCATTTCAACTTCCCTTCCTCTAAAAAGCTCCTTATTAAAAATACATTTCAGTCAGAACAATATATTTGATTATTAACGACAGTATTATATGAAAGGGTCAGATAAATGTAACCTGCGTCAAAATAAGTGGCATAAATCAGTCTTTTATGTTCAGATCCACATATGACAGGTGAAATCAAATAAAACAGCTGGTGCTTCCACAACCGAAGACCAAAATAACCAACCACAGCACTGACAAACAACTGAAACAAACATTTGAGCGCTTAAAATGGTTCCCGCAAAACTTTATGACACAATGTCATTAGCACACTCATTAGAGGAACAGAGAAAGCCTCCTACATGCGTTGCTCCCTGATCATGCTGAAAGACGGAAGCTAAATGAAGCATTCACACCAGCGGGACACAGCAGCTGCTAGTAACGTTACAGCTAACTTAACCAGAGCTCGGATAACCTTGTCAAACACGTGTATCTAAGCTCTCTTTCAGCAAATAATGGAAATGCCCATCACGTTGCATTTTTACTTCAGTTACATATCAAATTTCAACATGAAAAGCTCATATGTAGTCAAATAAGTATGAAAAATACTTACAGCTTGACAACATTCTCTACTACCGCCGCCATCTTGGCTCTACTGAGCTGCTTGCAGCGGGTGATCTGCGCTTGCGCAGAATGAAGGACCTTAGAGAGAAAGGTCACGGGTCATGGGCGTTCAGGAGGCGTGCGCGTGAAGGCAGAGATGAGGGTTATTTTCATGTTCAAATAAAGACAGTAGGCTACAATACAATAATCTGTCTATTCAATCAAACAAAATATCTGCTGTCTTTCAAAACCCGTACGACTGTATTAACACAAAAGGAGAACGTTTTTAATACTGTACTGGTTGCTATTCAAAAGAGAGAGAAAAAATATCATAAAAGTTAAATTGTTCATACAACTCGTGCGCTATAATAAAAGTCTTTTGAAGCTCGTTTGAGAAAGAGAATTGAATTTAAATCATTATTCCGTTTACAGCAAATCGAGCCAGTGAGTTGAATTCGCAAATGGTGCTGCTTGCTACCAGGGTTGCAACAGTTCAATCAACCCACTGCAACATTTTAAAAGTAGCGAGAGTCTGCTCACTGCAGAACACATGGATGGAGCTTAGGTCTATTCTAGCGGCTTGTAGGCTAATGTCCTCCTCAGCAATTAAACGCTAGAATGAGACGGTCTAGTAAGTGCGCATGGCTACGTCACTCATGTTTCCCCCCCACGGTCACAACACGGAAACACTATTAAAACTTAATTTTGGAAAATACTTGGCATTACAAATCTTTATATTAACTGGCTTTTATTAATGCGATACAGTGAATGACAGCCATCTGAGTGGCTCCCAGTGGCTTACATTATTGGCAGTTTTGATTATAAATGACTAAGCAAAAGATAACATCAACATATTCATGTCCGAAAACATTATTTTTGTCTTACATTTAATAATAAACTTAGACAAGCTCAGTACCGACTCATTTTCCATTTGGTTTATTTTCGTGAATTTGTGTGTGCAAAGGATTGTGGGTGATTTAAGGCCAAGAAGGGGTGCTTCTCAATATCCCTCCTCGTCTCCTCGCTCCTCCGTCCTCCATCCTATGACCCGGAAACCAATCGAGCTCAGCCATCTTGAAGGACATCTCAATTCTCTAATTGCACCGCGAGGAGGCAAGGATCGAGGAGTGAGGAGGCTTCCAGAGGAGCTATGAGCGAGGATACACAGGTGTACTGCTTTGCGGAAGAGTTTTATCGACTAAACATGACGCACGTATCAATTCTCCTCCCCCTTCACATCTGTCACAAACATTTGAATTTATACTTTACTTTTGTAGTTTACATAAACCACACAACTCACATATTTCAACAAGGTATCTTGCTTTATTATTATTTATTATTCATTTCTTAAATAAACTAACTTTAACAACATAAGGGCAGATCCTTTGAGCGCTGCTGATGACGCAGTGAAGTGACGCTCGAGTGATCAAGTATTCCAATGTATAAAAAAGCTTTCATTCAATTCCTCCAGCCTTCCCTCGCGTCCTACAGGGGGTGGAGCTGAGACGCGAGGAAAGGAAGCGAGGAAAAGGAAACGAGGATGCACAAATAAGAAATGAGAAGCACCCAAGGATACATCTGATGCATCCTTCAAAATGAGCTGAATGAAGGACGTGAAACGAACGCTGCCTTCCAAGGATCCTTCAAATTGAGATGGCGACGTTTGATGACGTGGCAGCCGAGATATGCAGCCTTCGTATAGGGTGCAGCCTTCCGTTTGAGAAACACCCTGGGTGCTTCTCAATTCTTATTTGTGCATCCTCGTTTCCTTTCCTCGCTTCCTTTCCTCGCGTCTCAGCTCCACCCCCTGCAGGATGCGAGGGAAGGCTGCAAGGAAAGAAAATGAGGACAGAGGAATCGAATGAAATTTTTTTTTATACTTTGGAATACTTGATCACTCGAGCGTCACTTCACTGCGTCATCAGCAGCGCTCAAAGGATCTGCCCTTATGTTGTTGAAGTTTGGTTATTTAAGAAATTAGTAATAAATAATAATAAAGCAAGATACCCTGTTGAAATATGTGAGATGTGTGGTTTATTTAAACTGCAATGGTAAAGTATAAATTAAAATGATTGTGACCGACGTGAAGGGGGAGGAGAATTTATACGTGCGTCACGTTTAGTCGGTAAAACACTTCCGCAAAGCATGCAACTGTGCATCCTCGCTCATGACTCCTCTGGAAGCCTCCTCACTCCTCGATCCTCGCCTCCTCGCGGTGCAATGGGCTCTATGCACGGCGGTATTTCCGGTGAAGGTCTAAGGATGCTGGATTACTTCCGCCGATCGTAGAGTCCAATGCTATTCCGAGAATTTATATTGGTTTTTATACTCTATTTCTATACTAAAGAAACGTTAGTCACAAAAACAGACACCCCTCATTTTGTTTATGCTTCTTTGTTTATTATATTAAATAAACATAACTATATATAAAATTACATCTAAACGTATTAAAGTTTCGTTTCAAAGACGAGAGGACAGTAAATTTTGAAGACTCTGCCATAATCCCGTTTTCCTCGGTTTTCCTCCGCTTTAAATCTCCCCAACCGGAAACGCAAGAGCATCCTTGCGTCAAACGCGGAACTTATGCGTGCATATAGCCCATTAGAGAATTGAGATGTCCTTCAAGATGGCTGAGCTCGATCGGTTTCCGGGTCATAGGATGGAGGAAGGAGGATCGAGGAGACGAGGAGGGATATTGAGAAGCACCCCCTATCCCTCCACATTAGACGTCCAGAGAGGAGGAGCTGGATCATGTCATTTGATTCTGCAGTGAGTACCACTTGGGAAAACAGCAGACTTCAACCTCTGCAGTGAATTCGAGAACCAGATCTGACCGATTCGTGTCCGAAGTTCCGAACTACCTATTTATATGGGTTTTGTGAACTAGATCATTTTGACAAGATCCAACTCAAAAGAACGCTTCGTTCATGAATTAGCAAGGGGTGCTTTTCACTGAATAATGAATAACTAATAAAAATAATATATTAAGAATATACGTATGTACTACACGTGTAAACAGGCGAAATTAACTTCAATAAGAAAGAACCAAACCCGTTATATTATTCCAACTCTTATTGTTGTAGTGTTCACGAATGGACACGATGTGGCACTAGTGGTCAATCTGACGAGACCAGGAGGTGGAGCTGGACGTCATTTGACTGCAGTGCAGTGACGTGACCGCTTCAAAACTTGTTGCCTCACTGCCCTGTCAAGCAATGACAGTTCAGACAGACTTCTGAGGCAGCGCTAAGTTGATCTACAGCAAAAATAGAGCGAGCTTTGGTGATAACTAAACAAATAATTAATTACTACAATAATAATTTCTCGCTAGAAATGACATCAGAAGTAGAAAACGTTGTCCAAAAAAGTACATTTACACAAAAAACTGACAACCAACCGCATCTTTATTTTTCTAGTTCAACTGAACAACGGCAGCGGAGGAGGATACTTCAGGTGACTTCATATATACTATGCTTCAAACTTAACATAATTGTTAACATTTTTCAAACGTGATACCTTCAGGTAGGCTATAGGTGTGTTCGACATCGGCTGCGGCTGGATGTAACCGATCGGCGAGAGTTGCCGCGTGCAGGCGGGGAGGAGCTGCAAACGGAGACGTGAAGTCGGACACTTTCTGGTTCCCGTAGTGACCGCTCATGTGGTGTTTGCATACTTTACCACAGCTGAAGTGAAATAAATGCAATATTTGCCAAATACACAGATGTTTCAGACACATTTTCATTCAATAGTTTACTACTTCATAGGCTACAGCATCTGTTTGAACAAGAATAAAGTTCAAGCCTATATCAATGAAGTGGAGTCAACGTTGTTTAATCATTTTATTTTGATAAACATGACACAATATAACATCGCGACTACATGAAAATGTAATAGCCTACCCCTGAAGAAGTATAAAAAGATTGATAAAGAATTAACACGAGCGCTGCAGTGATAGCTTCGTCGTGTTTACTCTGAATGAATGAATAAAATCATACATGTATAAAAAAAATACTCAGTACATTATATTATCAGTGCATGCATCACTTTTCTTTCACAGTAATGACTGGTTGTAAATGTAAGTGACTTTAAGCATGTCTCTCGCGACTCGCGGTACTTTGATGGCATTCGTCACAGTCATGTGACAGTGTCGTCGGCGCTGTATCAAGTCGGACAAAATTTCTAACCGGCATGCACTGCTTCAAGTCAGCCACCGATCGGTCTGCGCAGAGCTGCATGAAGTCGAACACAACCATAGGCGGAGTTTGACATTCGAGCCAGGGGGGGCAAAAAAAAAAAAAATCATTGTAGCATTCATTCATTCATTCATGTAGCAATCATTGTCGTTCGGACACAATTAGGATAAATGAAATGTGGACCACTTTTGCACTGTTAAAATATTATCTTCAACCAAAACAAAAAGATTTTTAGTTTTTCTTTTCTTTCCTTTTTTCAAAACACATTGTGGCAATGAGAGTGATTAAAGTTATATTTCGCATTTTATTGTACTTCATGAAACATTTAAAACATTTTGAGACACGGGAAAAATGAACAGTCACACAATAGCCTACTCTCCACGTTTGAAACACAATTGTGGCAATGAGAGCGATTAAAAAAAAAAGAAGTTATTTCGCATTTTGTTGTAGCCATTTCATGAAACATTTAAAACATTGAGACACGGGAAAAATTAACGGTCACCCCACACAGCAAAAGGACTCCGCGGCGGATCTACCGCGGAGGTATCGCGGCTTCCGGAACGGACCCGCGAAACGGACCCGTATCGGCGTCCACTTGCTCGCAGTGACGGATCCGCAACGAAGGCGGATCGCGGACCCGCCGTGGCTCCGCGCTGCATCCGCTCCGCATCCGCCATTAAAACCTTACCTCTGCGGCGGGTCCGTTTGGGACCCGCAAATTGATACATACATCCGCCGCGGACCCGCAACGGACTCATACAATTCTGGCTCATCTGGCCCGGGTCCGTTTTGGACCCGTTTATCTCATTTTTAAAATCCCTTCTGTTCTTGCTGTAGGATAAAATAGGATAAACTAAACTATAGGATAAAACCAAAAACTATAGGGCTAGCCTAGGCTAGTAACTACAGCAATATAGACCTA